GGATCCAAAAGCCTAACTGCTAGATTCTTTCCCAATGAATATGGTTTGACCAAGTTTGATTTAACTGTAGAAATCTAGGTGAAATGAGTAGTAAGTCCCAGGAAATGGAGTTTAGGGGAGTAGTGGGAATAAATTCAAAATTTCTGCAGAAACCTGCCTTCTCCTTTTAGTTTTCTAATTAATGATCCTCATTAGGAGCTATTAGCACATCAAAAGAGTATTAAAATAGCAATTAACTTTGGTGACTAAAGTAAACACAAATACAATTTTCCCTTTGACAAGCTCAAAAGAAAATGCTCTAATAATTTTAATGAAGGCAGTGGGCACCAGTAAATAAATCATTAGGTTGAGAATTAACATGTCATTCGAGTCAGTTAAGACAGAATTTGCTAACTTGCTTTGTTCTCTTTTAGGCATTGTCAGTTAATGGTTATTGCTAGCATAGAATTATTCACAACCCGTATTTAATGCTCTGGACCCAACTCAAAGAACTTTCTCATGTAGACTGCACAGGGAAGAAATACAGATGAGAGTTCCAGATGTTTCAGACATGCTCAGGCATATGTGTAGGATTGGAGAGGCAGAGCTAGCTGGGGTTTACCTGTCCTAGGATTTCGGTAATCCCTGGGATGGAACAATGACCAGAAACATGGAGGCTGAAAAGTGGTGGAGAGAACAGACTCCTCATGGGCTGCTTAATTATTTGATTGATTCACCAACAATATTTACTACTGTTCTAGGTCCCAGGGATATAGTAGTGAATAAACTAAAGTTCCTGCCCTTATGGAATTTACATGCTGAGAGCAAACACCTAAATAGACAAGAAATGTCAGTGACCAGAGGTTGGGGAAAATTTAACACAGGGCAAGATGATATAATGTGGGTGTTTTGTTTTGTTTTGTTTTTTAAGATTTTATTTATTTATTTATTTATTTGAAAGAGAGAGCCATAGCAAGAGAGGGAACATGAGCAGGGGGAGTGGGAGAGGGGGAAGCAGGCTTCCCACTGAGCAGGGAGCCCGATGTGGGGCTCCCAGGACCCTGGGATCATGACCTGAGCCGGAGGCAGACGCTTAACGACTGAGCCACCCAGGAGCATATGTGGGTGTTGTTTTAAATAGGGTAGGCAGGGAACATTGAATTAGCAAACACTAAGCACTTCTCCTAGCAGAAATAGTTTCCTGAGAGCCTTTGTTCACATTTGCTTCAACTAATCAACACATAACCTTGTTTTATGTGTTTCTGTTTAAATAAACCTTATTTAATATATATCATTGATTTCTTAACATTGAATTCATGGCCAACAGCATTGTAAGCCATGCCTGAAAACAGCTTATCTAATACACTTCCTCCAAAGCTTTCCTTTCTATACCACTCATGCCTTTCTGGGTGTCAAGGTCACCCTGTTCTGTATCCTGGAAAACTAAAAAAGAGCAGTTGTTTACAGGCACAACGTGGTTAGGTGTTCAAGTCTCGGGATACAGGCTTACATTCTCCTAGTCAAGAGCCACAGCTCTATGCAGGCGGATGCCAATGGAAGGACTCTACGCCTCAACGGTGGGACACACAGCTGAGATGACTGCTTCACTCGACTGTACATAACTGCCTCTTGTGCCCCACTAAATGGCCATCAATAGTCTGTAGACACTGGCCCTTTTGTGGCTTCCCAGGAGTGGCCTCTGAGAGTGTTGGACAGTTCTCCCAATGCCGACCCCTGCTCCGTTTCTCCTGTCTTGCCAAATGACCTCCTCCCTAACCCCTAGTTCTTGTGATCCACCTTGGATCTGGGGCTGGAAGAGGACATCATCTGGCAAGATAGAGAAGATGGTGGCACCAAATAATGAAATGAGGTAGCTTCAAAAGGAATAGTTTTTTGGGGGGGAGATATAGTGCAGGGAAGGAATTAAGAGCTATGTTTTGAACATGTAAAATGTTAGATGTCATCTAGACATTGGAGGTAGAGTTTGATGGTTGACTCCATAGCTCAGGGAAATTTGGGTCTAGAGAGGTAAATTGGGGAGTGAACAACAAAAAGGGGTTGCAATTATTCTGGTTTCTATGGATTCTTCTTAGAGACACTTACTAGTATTCAGTTGATGTTTTCTGTGTGAGAGGAACCATAAAAGTAGGGGAAAATTTGAATAGGTGGTAAAGGGTATTAGCACCAGATCCCAGTGATTTTTTTGTCAGGGCACGTAAAACAATACTGCGCTTATTGAACTCATATTAAATATAAGCCAGAAGTTGAATATTAATCTTGAGATTTTTAAGCAGTATTTGATTCTTTGATTCTTTTTTTTAAAGATTTTATTTATTGGGTACCTGGGTGGCTCAGTCAGTTAAGTGTCTGCCTCTGGCTCAGGTCATGATACTTGAGTCCTGGGATTGAGTCCCTCATAAGGCTCCCTGCTCAGCGGGAAGTCTGCTTCTCCCTCTGCCCCTCTCCCTAATTGTACTCTCTCTTTCGTGCAAAAATAAATAAAATCTTTTAAAAAATATATTTTATTTATTTATTTGTCAGAGAGAGAGGGAGAGAGCAAGATTTACTATGAGCTGAAGCTGGGCAATAAACATAGGAAGAGTTCATTATATTATTATTTTTGTTGATGCTTCTATTTTATTGTTTTCGATTTTTTTTTTAAAGATTTTATTTATTTGACAGAGAGAGACACAGCAAGAGAGGGAACACAAGCAGGGGGAGTGGGAAAGGGAGAAGCAGGCCCCCCGCTGAGCAGGGAGCCCGATGTGGGGCTCGATCCCAGGACTCTGGGATCATGACCTGAGCCAAAGGCAGCCGCTTAATGACTGAGCCACCCAGGTGCCCCTTGTTTTTGATTTCTTAATAAAATTTAAAAAAAAAATGATCTTTGAAATAGAGAATACAAAAATTTCTTTTTTAAAAAAGATTTATTTATTTATTTGAGAGAGAGAGCACAGAAGCAGGAGGGGCAGAGGAAGAAGGAGAGAGAATCTCAGGCAGAGATTGGAGCCCCAGACAGGGCTTTGATCTCAAGACCCTGAGATCATGACCTGAGCAGAAAACAAGAGTCAGACACTTAACTGACTGCACCACCCAGGTGCCCCTAGAATACATACATTTCTTGATCTGTGGTGAGGACAATTTGCTCTGATGGTGAGAAATAAAAGAGGTCTTGTGTCTCAGATTTTCATATAGGCTATCTTCCTGTCAACCTCTCTACCCATTATTTCTTTCCCTGTTTTTGCTAATCCCTACTCTTCTTTGTGATTTGTTCTCAGGATCATTTACTCTACTTTGATTCAACACCAAGAGCCTTGTGCCAGTCCTTCCCACTGCTGGTCCAGCTATGTAGGCCTAGTAAAGAGAGTTGGATAAAGAATATGCTGACTAACTCCAAAAGACTCTAGATGAGGCCATTCTGATAATGCTGAGACAGAGTCCACAGCCAGATAAGATACTGGAGTGGAGCATAAGGAGAGTGTGCTAAGGCTTCCTGTGCAGAGTAGGACACACTGGCTCATGTAGATATATGAACAATGCAGATCTAGTGTTTGTTGGTGTCATTCTTACTTAAAACTCTTTTCTAGAAGAATAATATAGCGCCTGCAGGCATGAATCACCAGGCCTTCAAATCCTATGTTTTCAAAAATTGATGAGTGAGGGGCTGGGACCAAATAGCTTACCAGTGTACGATATGTGGATTATACATTAGGAAGTGGAGATCAGGGCTCAGATTTTCATGCTATGGAGGCTACCCTAGAGAATCTAGAGTTAAATTACTCTGACTGGGAAAAAAAGAGCTAAGAATTTAGTAGTTTCTCCTCCACACTCAAATATGAAATCACTAAAGCTGAGACTGGGAAATTCTAGGTACATCAATAAACTTTGCTGGACCTTAATTTCCCCATCTATCAAATGAGTTAATTAGAATAGATGATCTCTAAAGTTTCCCCTCTACTCCAAACTCATGATTCCATGAAATACTTAAAATCACTTTTTTTAATTATGAAAAATTTTAAAAAGCCATAAAAAATAGAGAACACAAAGAACCCCCAGTAGCAATCACTCCATTTCAACATTTGTCCAATTTTGTTTTACCTAAACTCCTACTTACTCACCATTCTACCCCCATTGCATTATTTTGAAGCAAATCCTAGATATCATATGAAATACATTTTAATGGACTCTTTTGGAGCAAAGATAGTTTATAAATAACAGATCAGGAGAAGTCAGTCTTTCCACTTTTCCGGGATACCTTCTCTTATTGCAACTGTAACCATTACCATTAAATTTAGTGTGATAGGATGCTAAGAAAACACATGCAAAACCCTGTTAGACTCAGTCAAGGAAGAGCTACCATTAATGAACACTTGCTATCTTCCAGGTATTACTATGATGTATTAATTATTTTGGCTATGAAAGAAATTACCACCCCCACCCCCGCCACAAATTTTGCAGCTGGAAACAAGAAGCATTTCTCATCTCACAGTTTCTGTGAGTAAAGAATGCAGAAGCAGCTTATTTGGGTGATTCTGGCGCAGGGTCTGTGAGGAGGCTAAAATGGAGGTGTTAGCTGTGGCTACAGTCACCTCCAGGCTCAACTTGGCAAGGATACACTTCTGAACTCATTCTCAGGGCTGCCTGATGACATGGTAGCTAGCTTCCCCCAGAGTAAGCAATCCAGCAGGACAAGAGAGAAAGAATCCAAGAGTGAAGCCACAGGTCTTCTTTTTTAATAGCCTCATCTTGTTAGAGACATCTCATCATTTCTGATGTAGTCTGTGTTAGAAGCTAGTCAATAAGTCCACTCCACACCCAGTGTAAGGAGATTACACAGGGCATAAATCAAGAAGCAGGGGTCATTGTAATCTACAACGAAAGGCTGCCTATCACATGTGCTAAGTATTCATTACTGGACTGGTCTGTTGGATATTATAGCTTATTGTAAGTTAATAAATGATCTCACTTCTTATGAATATAATTTTACCCACTTTACACATGAGGAAAATTAAGTAACTCACCTGAGGACGGAGTGGAAGAAAGTGAGGGAGCCATGATTTATTTCAGTCATTCATCAAATATTTTTTTGCAACTCTATCATATATTGGTTATTCTGAATCTGAAAGAGAACATGACATATGAATATACATGTCACATGTGAACCTTGCTCTCAAGGGCTTACAATCTAGTATGGAATTCAGACATTAAGAAATTACAAAAATAGGGGTTGCTTGGCAGACTCAGCCAGAAGAGCATATGACTCTTGATCTCAGGGTTGTGGGTTCAAGCCCCACATTGGATGTAGAGATTACTTAAAAATAAAATAAAAAAAGAAATTCTAAAAATAATTAATTACCATAATCAGATTCAACTGTTAGATTTATAATGCTTCTGTTAAACATGGAGTTGAATAAAACAGATCAAAAGAAATAAAGAAGTATAAAGGTCTTTGAATATTCCTGTGATAGCCAATTTTTAGTTTTTCGAGGGAACAAACAGGAAGAGGAAAATAATATGGGATGCTTCAGCACGGAAGATGGCTACCCAAAATATCTTGTTTATTTTAAGGAAATTTACAGGATTTCCATTTAACTCTTTTGCAATGCTGATCCACAGAAATATGCAGTGACCATGCCCAATCACAGAAATATGCAGTGACCATGCCCAATCACAGGTCTGTATTCCCTTCTTCAATGGACTGGGTGTTTCTTCTATGCATTCTTGCATCTAGAAAGGCTCAACTGAAACTGATACTATAGGATTATAACAAGCTCCTCTCCCATGTTTTAGACTCAAATATTTACATGTTAAAAATTAAAATGAACTTATTTTAGTGCCGGGCATGTAAGATTGCAGTTGAGAAGGTTGCTGAATCAAGGACTTTCAGACCTAAGAACAGCTACCGAGGTAAGAAAATTAGGCCCCAAATATACAAGTTCATTCCATGAAACTTTAGGTAGACAATGGCAATGACAAATCTATGGGAAATCTATAGGACAATTAAAATAGTGAAAAAAAATTAAAGAAATTCTTAAATCCCACATTGCAAACTGAGAAAAATCTGTCAATCAAATGGAAGAGATACATTGCTTCTTCCATTTTTCACTTCCATTTTGGTCGCAAAAAAGCCAGAAGAAAAAACTCCCTAAGTGTGTTAACGAAATCTATCCATTAAGACATCTTGTCTATATTAAATCTTTTTTTAAAACTATTATTTAGCTTTAAAACTATTAATTAATATGCTTGGAGAAAGGAAGGACAAGAAGTCCTCAAGCTGAATTTCCAGTTATTAGTTCCTTGAAAAACTTCTGTCCAGGTTGTCAAATATTGGTTTTCACTGTGCTCAAACTGACTCCAAACTATTACTAAATAAGCCTTATATCTATTGCTGTGCATTTCTATAGAATCAATTCTGACTGCTAATGTAGTTAGAAAAATAGTTTCTGCCATTGGCTACAAAATTCGAACTATCTGTATATGCAATAAACTTCAGAAGTAAACCAACAACAGAGCGCTCATGACTGAGGTCTAATCTTACACTTTTCATCAAAAGTGCAGATTGAATCAAGAGAGTAATTCTCAGGAAAATGATCATTATATATTTGAATATTCATCAGAGATACCCAAATCTTACCCATTCTAATTTTGACCTGCCATGGAATCTGTGAAATCATTCGCCATTTATTTTTATTTTTTGTCAGGAGATAAAAAATGTTGTTTTAAACCACTTGCTTCTTACTGAGTAACTAGTTGCTATTCTTCCTCACTCTAATAACTTCCAAACGTTTGTCAAAAATAGTTTGCAAAATTTGCACGAAGGCGAAAGGACTTTGCATGCATCCGTGTAGATAAGGAGCCTACACTTAGGAGGCAGGAGAGGACTTAAAACAAGCCATTTCTCCATTTGGAGTCCCCATCCCGACATCCCGGCCGAGGCAGCTTCACCGGGCACGGCCAAGGACTCTCTCGGGACGCTGCAGCGGGGAAAGGACTTCGGGAAGCGCCATTCCGCGGGTCTCTCTCCAGCCTCAGGGCCCCCCTCCCTCCCCCGTCATGCGTGGAAATTCCAACTGCCACCGTGGGAACGAAACTTCTCTTCCAGAGACCTGCATCCCGCGCGGCATTCTCAATGACTTTGAGGGACGCAGCGTCACTTTCCCCGTCTTGGGTAAAGCGGAGAGGAGCGGCCGCCACCTGCCTGAGGCCAAGGCAATAAACCTACACCACACAGAGAGTCTGAGCCCCGCAAGAAGGGGTGCAAAGCAGCGCTCAGGGCTCTTTCCTCCCAGCTCGATTTCGGCTGGGGACCGGCGGAGCGGACGCGGAGGAGGGGCTCCAACGGGGTGGGGCTGGGACCTCACGCCCCGCGGGGGTCGCCGCGGGAGGCGGGGGGAGGGGAGCAGCGGCCGCGCGGGCTCGGCCCTCCCCGGGGGCGGGGCTCTAGCTCTGCCCCGCCCTTCCCCACCCCTCCCCCACGTCCTTTTCCACCCGCCCCCGCAGTAGGAAAGGGAGAGGGAGGGGGGGAAAAGGAAAGTGCTGTTCTGTGGAAAGGGGCGGAAGGAGGGGGAGAAAAAAAAGGAAAGGGAACAGAAACATGGCCGTCAGCTGTCGGAGCGGTAGTGCAGCGGGCAGCTCCTAGGCGACCCGCCGCCCGCTCTGCCGGACTCGAGAGAGCAGAGCCGCCCGCGCGAGCTCCCGCTCCCGGCCGTTATCGCTGCACGCGGCGCCCCTCGAGACCGAGCCCTTGAGGCGGCGCAGGCGCAGATCGGGCCGTGGAGGCGGCGGCCGCAGGAGCAAGTCCCCCGCCCGGCTGTGCCGAGGGCGCGCAGGCCGCGAAGCCGGCGCTTTCATGCCCCAGGAAGGGGCTGTGTCCGGGTGGCACTGAAGGTGGAGTGGGCGGCAGGTGAGTCCGCGGTGGAGGGCCTTTCGCGGAGGAACCCTGCGCTGCGCCGCCGCGGGGCCCGCGCTGCTGTGCCGTGGAGGGCTCCGGGCAGGTAGCGACTCCGAGGGCTGAGTTCCGATGGCCCGCCTGCGGGGGGTCGCCAAGCAGGCGGAAGGTGGCGGGGCTGGCGTTCCCGGCCTAGTCTCTCCGCGGTTTCCGGGGGCGGGGAGTCCCCGGAGCCTGCGGGGAGTGATGATGGGGGGAGAGGCCGCGCCAGGACGGGCCTCCCCGCGCCGCCCGCCCCGGCCCCTGAGAACCACTTGCCAGGACGCGCGAGGGGGCTGGGCCCTGGGGACCTCCTGGGCGACGGCCGGGTGGGAGGGGGCTGGGCGCGGAGGGGGCGGGGACTGGGTTAGAGTGGGTGGAGAGCGAGGGCTGGGGTCTGGCGAGAAGGGTCCGGAGAGCGCGAGGGGAGGCCCGGGGGCCCGGGCAGGTGTCTCAGGTGAATGGAGGGCATGTCCTCCTCCGCCTTACCGTGGCTGATCCTCAGGGCTTCCTTGTGGGAGATGACTTTTCGGAAGGCTGGTTCCATTAAACTCCGAGTGACTAAACACAAATTAAACCAACTAATGAGCGCCTAGTGCTGACTTGTGTAGAGAGCTGTAACTTTTCTGCTCTGAGGATGCTGTCTTTTTTTTCTTTTGCTGCTTCATGGACCTTTTTCCCTTGCGTCGCATCAGAACAGATAAGGAATGACCCAGTTTTAAAGAGTACCAGCGTCCCATCCTTTTTTGTGTTTGTTTCACACGGGAAAATTTAGGCCAGTTACCGAAGTTACTTGTGCAAATATGAGGGTAAGTGTCATCTCCAGTAACGAACGGACCCTCAGCTGTCTGTGTGTTTTGCCTAAAAGAGATTGTCAGACATCGTAATCTGGGAATTTGATTTACTGAGACTGCTTAATTGTGTTCAAACTCTTGTTAAGTCTTTTTCCCTAGACCCCAGTTTGCGGTAGGAGTAGCTCTTCCCTTCCGGTCTTCCGGTTTAGAAGGTGAGGGGTATAGTAAGACAGGGGAGGATATTAGGGCCAAGGCGCCAAGTTTTAATGAATACTTGATTTGAGGGGAGCGTGTGTATTAAGCTATCCGAAAAGAAGAGCATAGTTTATGATCTGTATACATAAGAGCAAAATCAAAGGAAAACTGCGCGTTAAAGAATGTCAGTTCTTGTTCAGTTATAATCATTAAAAAAAACACATTATATTTTATTTTCTGCCCTGTTCTTTGAATTAATTACCGTTAAAAGGTTGGTAAACTGTCCTCTTGCTGTGAGACTGGGGACTCAGAAATGAATTTAGATTTGTATTCGTGAGGGTGAACTGCCTCGTATAGGCTTGTTTTGACTCATTTTTCTCATAATGGCAAACTCAGTCCACACTTTGCACTACATTGGTATCTCGTGTGGCCATTTTGCAAAATAGTTGATTTTAGTGAACCGGTAATATGCTAGTTGATTTTGGCCATACATAGTACCTCACTTAGTGCACTACGTTTTTAGACTTGTTAATTTGGATAATAGACAAGCAGTGATGTTAGAAATGTTGAAGTTGTATATTGGAGTAATTTATACTCTTCTATAATTTGTAAATGAGTGCATCCTGTTGTTGAGAGTAAACATAGTATTTTGTAGTATAAACTTGAGTTTTCAGCTGAAGAAATTGGCAGTAGAGCTGGTGTGTGGGGACTTCTTAAAGCACAAATGTTTTAAATTATAAGGAACTGCAGTGATGTGTAGGCTGTGACAATTCGTGGTGCCAGACTTGGAAGGTTATTTGGTTGAGGTGCTCTCTATAAAGAAACATGTTAAGTATCTTCAGTAAAAGCTAGTTTGTAGCTATACACAAGGGATTTAAATGATAAAGATACATAAAGGCACCTTTGCTCTTTGTGTATCTTCCATTTAGGACCAAAACATCTCATATTTTCTTTGGAGTTTCCTGCCAAGACAGTTAGTGATTTTGCATTGGCTTTGCTGCTCGTTTTGAACGTTAGTCTTACCCTTGCAGCTTAAGTACAGGTTGTAAAGCAAAAGAAAGCTGCTGAGTCAGAGGCAGGTTGTCTCATTTGGTCTTTCTGATTTGCAGAAGGGAATTTCTGTTAGAATTTCAATTTCCAATATAATATGCTTGCTGAAACTGAGATAGTAAGGGCAAATAAGCTTTCTTAATGCAAGAATTAACATTTTATCTTCTGTCAGCTATTGCCTCGAGTTTTATCTCCTCTTTCAGATTGTCAGTTTGACAGACTTGTAGTAAATGGAATGCCTTGTTGGGATTGGAGATTGCTTTGTAAGACTTAAAAGTTAGGGGAAGTTGTACATGTTACAGCTGGTGTAAAGGTGTAGGGTTAGCATCAGATTGTAGGAAATTCCAAAATCAGATACATTTATTATTTGAAATTTAAAACAGTATTTTTTGGGAAGAAATTAGGTAATTTATAAACTTAAAAATTTTTTCTACTTATGTCAGTACATAACACATACAAGTAAGTATAGTAGAGCTTAATGTGCTACTTGAAAACTTTTTATTGGAAAAGAATATGATTAAAGGAAATTCAAAAGGGAAAAATTTAATTCTCACCTATCTTACATTTTTCTGTATTCTTATTCTACTTGTATAATATATTAATATAATGTACTAATCCTGTCCATACTTGTATATGATTCTGTGGTTAATAATCATATAATTGTCTTTTTTTAATTTTTAAAGATTTTTTATTTATTTGATATAGAGCATGCCCAGGAGCAGGGAGGCAGGGCAGAGGGAGAGGGTGAGGGAGAAGCAGACTCCCTGTGGAGCAAGGAGCCTGAGACTCCGGGCTGGATCCCAGGACCCTGAGATCATGGCCTGAGCCAAAGGGAGACGCTTAACCCACTGAGCCACCCAGGTGCCCCATATATAATTGTATTTTTTTTTTTTAAATTAGAGTCTGCGTGTGCCCGTGGTAGGTGGAGGGCAGAGGGAGAGAATCTCAAGCAGACTCCCTGCAGAGCCCATTGTCTGGGGGCTTGATCTCAGGACCTGGAGATCATGCCCTGAGCTGAAATCCAGAGCCTGCTGCTTAACTGACTGAGCCATCTAGGCGCCCCATATAATTGTCTTTTTAAACATAACATGTTTTCCTTGGTGCTGTTACTTTATGGCTTTGTAATAGTCAAAAGTTTTACTGTTTCATAGTGGATTTGACTATTTCTCTGTCTTTTAACATTTTAGTAGTTCCACTTTATTACTCTTAAAATAATGTGATAATGAAATCATTTTGCTAATATGATAGTCCAAACCAAATTATTATTTTTTTAAAAGATTTTATTTATTTATTTGTCAGAGAGAGAGAGCACAAGCAGGGGGGAGTGGTGCCTGATGCGGGACTCGATCCCAGGACCGTGGGATCATGACCTGAGCCAAAGGCAGCCGCTTCACCGACTGAGCCACCCAGGCGTCCCCAAACCAAATTATTTTTTAAACTTTTGAAAAATTAAACATTCTTTGAACTGTTTCATTTGCAGTGGATTATTAGGGCTCCTCTAATATAGTATTTAATTGAGAACAGAATTAAAGAAAGAGGAAAAACCGTAGATATGCCTGTATGACTTGAATTCATTGAGTAGGTAGCATAATATAAATTCATAATTCTCCCTGTTAACTGATTTGCTACGTTTCTATGTTTATTAATTTTACTTTTTTTTTTTTAAAGATTTTATTTATTTATTTGAGAGAGAGAGAATGAGACAGAGCACATGAGAGGGGGGAGGGTCAGAGGGAGAAGCAGACTCCCTGCCCAGCAGGGAGCCTGATGCGGGACTCGATCCAGGGACTCCAGGATCATGACCTGAGCCGAAGGCAGTCGCCTAACCAACTGAGCCACCCAGGCGCCCCTAATTTTACTTTTAAAATATAGTAAGTAATAGTCTTATAGGAATTCTTAATTCTTTTTTTCTTTTTTTTAAGATTTTATTTATTTATTTGACAGAGAGAGACATGGCGAGAGAGGGAACACAAGCAGGGGGAGTGGGAGAGGGAGAAGCAGGCTTCCTGCGAAGGAGGGAGCCCGATGCGGGGCTCGATCCTGGGACCCTGGGATCATGACCTGAGCTGAAGGCAGCCGCTTAACAACTGAGCCACCCAGGCGCCCCAGTTCTTAATTCTTAAAGTAATACTGTGGGGCATAAATGTTTCTCAGTGTAACTTATTTCAACCAGACCTAATATTTACAAATCTAGATTTATATAATCTTTGACTTGTAGAAGAGTAATCTTATAGGATTTTAAAAGTCTTTGAAATATTTTAAAGGATTCCTTGAATCTAGTTTTTTTATTGTGTATATGCAGTTTATATATATCTTAATTTAGGGAAACTTAGATCCTAAAAACATAAATGTTATGAGTCTCTTTAATTATGGAAAAAAAGAATGTATTAAATAGGTACTGTGCTGCCGGCTAGGGATAAAAAGATGAATAACATACAGTCTGAATATTAAAGTCTAGTAGGATAAACAGTCTTACAGATATGCATCACAACTACAACATGACAAATCTAAAATAGAGCAAATGTCTCTATAGAAG